TTTAGTTTAAAACTAGGTAATCCGCATGAGTAGACCCAAGGAGGATGATTTCCGGAGAGCTCAATGTAAAATTCAGAGCCGATATGTTTGAATAAAACAGACGATTTAAGGTTCCATGTATTAAAAGACACAACCCTTTAACAGGGCTCTGGATCATCAGACTTTACTTCCAAAGGGTGAAATGAAAACATTTGAAGTAAGGTCTGATGATTCAGAGCCTTGTTAAAGGGGTTGTGAAATAACTTATTACATGGAACCTTAAAGTGGTCTGTTTTATTCAAATATATATATATATATATATATATATATATATATATATATATATATAAAAATATAGATATTTTAAGAAAAGATAGACGCTTACCTTTATAGTAAAATATTTTTTATATATCGATATATATATATATATATATATATATATATATATATATATATGATATTGCACATTGGGTACTGACGCCAATAAAAATATAACAGATATATTAAGTATAACATTAATAAATATAAATAATAATCTCTGTTTATTTAAAATAAAAAAATAATACTATTAATTCCCGTATATTTCAAATATAAATACAGCCAATTTAATTACATTTTTAAAACCAGTAATACCTGTATAGACTTTGCATTTTAGTCTATTGCAACGAAAAGATGTTCTCTGTAGGAGGCCCATTGCCATAAATATCTCAAATGCTCACTCAGATCTTGTGGGACTGGTATATACGATCCATTGCCAAAGATTCTGGGAAATGGTCGGTTTCTTGTAGCATTCCTGTAAGTACCTGACTTTTCTTGTTGTCCACTCTCTTTACAAAAGCCATATCAGGCCGAAAATAAAGTAACGCGGCCATATCTGGTCTCTTCCCTTCCAAGTGATGATAGAAGTCAAATGAGTTTATAAGAACTTGTGGGTGATTCTTTCCCATCCAACAACCCCTTTTCCATAGACGAATTGCTGACAGCCTTTCTCTACACTTTCACTATTTTCATGGACGAGATGCCTTTCTTAGCTACACAATTAAGACCTGCCATGCCAAGTACCCAGTAACAAAGCAATTTCATTCAGTTCGTATTCCATTAGTGAGAATAAGTTCAACTCGAACAGCCTCTTCCCACAAACCGCTGCTTTACTAAGAGGATGCTTTCCCGATCGCTAGAATCTTAACCATTTCAAGTCTAGGATTATTATTCTTACATATCCTTATAAACTACTCCTCTTACCTCTCCAGTAACGCTCTACCTCAAGTGGCTCCTGAACCTTGTAAATGGTGAACATTATCAAAAAACAACTTACATGGTGCTGTTGAATTTTTTGTATATAAATCCAAGAGAGAGAGAGAGAGAGAGAGAGAGAGAGAGAGAGAGAAAGAAAGAAAAAAGAAAGAGAGAGAGAGAGAGACAGAGAGAGAGATTTTAAACTTATAGTACTCCCCAGGGATACCAGATGGTTCCATGGCTACTGGGAGTGAAAGAGTATGAAAAGACTTTAGAAAGAATCGGAAACCTAATCCTAAACAGATAACAAGTGAAACCTCTACTCATGTTCAAAAGAAAGGGAAGAAGTTTGAACCGGGTGATAGGCGTACCTATTTACTCATTAAAATCACGGTTATTTTGTGTATTTTTTTTTAAGCGTTTCACCCCAAGCAAGGCGGGAAGTCACTAGGACGCAAGGGGTTACAGAAGATTTGGAGTGAGATCAGACAGGAGTGATAGAGGAAAGGATGAGGAGAAAGATAGTGGATAGATCAAGGAAACTGGAGATCTCGATTGACATTACATTTGAATAGTTGGGGATTATAGCACTCAGGGAACCTGGGATAGAGAACGAAGTTCCACAGGCGATAGGTGCGAGATATGAAGCTATTGGTGTAGAAGAGACGGCTACATTTAGTACTTTCGACAGTGAAAGGGTGAGAGCGGGATGCCAGCCTCGTAGGGCGCTTGAATTCATGGAGTCTGGGAACCAGTGAAAGCAGCTCATCGGAGCAATTACCATGAAAGTATTTGTTAAAAAGACAGAGAGAGGCGACAGCGCGTCTGTGAGAGAGCGACTGTAGACGAGATGCCAGAACAGGGCCAATATACCGTGTCCTACTGAAACAGTATATTCTGTTACAGGAATGATAGCAAAACGTATTAAACAGTGGTCCTAACTTACATGGTGGTGTTGAACTTTCTATATATAAATCCGAGAGAGAGAGAGAGAGAGAGAGAGAGAGAGAGAGAGAGAGAGAGACGTAATAGAGAGCGAGTGAAAGAAAAAGAAAGAAAGAGAGAAAGACTGAGAGAAAAAGAGGGAGAGAGAATGCAAGATGATGTCATGAGCTGTGAGGGAATACTTTCAAGAATATGCGATTTCCGATCTTCGCAGCCGTACGCTGCACGTACAAATAATTATCTCTTCTCATCATTGAACATTACCTATTGCCATTCAATCCAGCAGGTGCCCCTTTTATGATACCGCTGGAGACGTGCTCAACGTAGCTAGAGGTAAGCACGCTAGCTGTCCAGCTGCAAGTTAAACAAATTCCTACAGCCCGTGTTAACATTTCTTGCGGCATATTTACTCTAAAACGTGCATCGATCTTGGCGAGTTTTAGTGGCCGTCCAGAACCGGATCTACGGGCGTAAGAAAGTGAATTTGATCATTGCTGCCACATCGAAGCAGTACCACGTACTTCCCACCTGCGCACCAATTCCCCGAGATAAGCATCCAGCAACACTAAGGCAGAATTGGACACTCCCAGATAGACAGAGGAAAACTCAAGAAATACATATACATATATATATATATATATATATATATATATATATATATATATATATATATATATATATATATATATATATATATATATATATATATATATATATATATATAACCCTATTGAGCCAAAGAACCATATTTATTGGTAAATATTTTCCTTTAGTCATATCCTCTTTCAGACAATGCACACTGAAGATCCATTTAAGTGAAACCTAGGGTGGTAGTTTCTGGCTCACTAGGATTTTTGATACTCTGATCTTCTTAGTGTATTGAGCACTTTAATTTTTTTTTTATTTTACTCGATTGTTTTTTTTTCTTTTGGCTAGGCATTACGGCGTTAGACGATATTTTTTCGGCCTACTCGAATGTTTCTAGTATTTTCTTATTTTTTTAAAAAAATTCCCTAGATAGCAGTTTGTTTTAATATATTTTGTACTATATACTAAATTGTACTATCCGGGTTTTTTTATATAGGTATCAATATATATATATATATATATATATATATATATATATATATATATATATATATATATATATATGTGTGTGTGAGTGTGTGTGTGTGAAAATATGTAGAAAATAGGAAAGAACTCGTTAGGGTAAATAATTTTAAATATATATATATATATATATATATATATATATATATATATATATATATGTGTTTTAACCTCTGGTTTTATGAGCGATTTGACACGAAACTCTGAGTCGGTCAGTGAGATAAGTGAATTGAAAATTTATTGATTTACTATATATATATATAGTCGACTCTCCCGTCGAGATTCGACGTATGAGGGTCAAGCAGATCAGTTTCCAGGAAACCGACAGCCCGACACCGGCACATGAGATTTGATTATAGTGGTGAAGGCCTCGTGCAAGACCATCCACACTTTTTTGAAGGGCCGAATACAGAGACCTGGTGCACCGAATGCCACAAGGTTCCCAAACGAGCCTCCGCAGGTTTTGAATTCAGAGTTGTCCTTCTCCTAGACCAGTTGCCATCCAAGGCTATAGAACCCAGTCTGTCCTGCTATTTTACCCATAGCTGGAAGGAGAGGAAGATGATTCATACCTTTCCCAAGAGTATTAGCACGTAAGTGAATGTAATGAATTCGACTATGGATATATATATATATAAATTATTAAAACAGTAAACTTTTCGCTACCGTGGTTTCTACCAATACAGGTATTCATTAGTAGAAATCGTGATAGCGGTAAACGTAAGTGTTTGTAATATCTTAGATCTTAACTAAATCTCCACCTTCATTTGTCTGAACTGTGTATTGAGCATTTAAAGAAATATATAACCATATATATATATATATATATATATATATATATATATATACACACACACACACACACACACACATATATATATATATATATATATATATATATATATGAAAAAAGTTTATTTAACTGTTAGATATCATTTTTATCCCGACGTCGATGTTTCTTGGTAAAATTTCTCGTCTTCAGGGGTTATGGTTTTAAACATTATTTCAAAAACAATTGGAAACACCGTTTCAAACAACAAGCTGTAAAGACTGGTAATTTTACCAAGAAACATCGATGTCGGGTTAAAATGGATATTTAAAGTTAAGTAATAGTTTCATATAATATTATTAATACTCTATTTTTAATATTTTTAATACTAAGCACGATATATAAAATATCTGCTGTTTCTTAAATCTTAAATGATTATATGATTATATATACATATATCTGTATATATTTATTCTTGCGCCCCCTATATATATATATATATATATATATATATAAAAAAGTGAACATTGAAGTCAACCCATAGATGGCTCTAAGTGTTGACTTCAGTGTTCACTTTTTATATTTACACACGCTCTATCTCTGATATTGAGCACTTTATCCCATAAATATCGCACACCTTAAGAGTATATTTCTTCATATATATATATATATATATATATATATATATATATAGTAGTGAAAGATTCTCGGCTCTAATAGGAACTATTGCCAAAAAGTATGATTTGGCACATTATGGGAAATGCTCATTACGTATGTTAGAATAATAATAATAATAATAATAATAATAATAATAATAATAATAATAATGGCCATTGTTTCGGTGTAGCTGGGTAGATAGTCAATCCCTGTTGCAGATGCCTGATCAGGCACCTTTGCGTTTGTTCAACATCCGCAGACCCAACCTGGGGTTGGTTTATGCGTCAACAATTTTTTGTATCGG